AATAAACTGGAATGGCATGCAAATTCAACTCCATTAAATTAATTTCATTCTGTATCTTCTCGCTACTAAAATACCAGGGCCTATTTTCTCAAAGCACCGAGAAGTACAGCAGCGATACGTGCTCCGTTTGCCTGAACAACTTCTACAAGGACGTCACGCAGAGCTCATGGAAACTGGATAAATTATACGAAGAGATGAGATACAATGTGAACAGTTTCATATCGGCTTTCAACAAAAACAAGACTGAAATACTTAGTATTGCATTTTTTATTCTTCAAACTTTGATTTTTCATTAAAAATGATTTTCTATATCTGCCCGGTATAACCAGCTGGGGGTGGGTGATTGTCCCCATTTAAATTATGGTTGGTGAATTATTTATTCTAATATAATCTATTTACTTGAAAGACAATTGCTTATCGATGACGTTGACAGGCTGATCATTTGTTATTTTGTATGTATGAATTGAAAATTTTAACCAATTAAAACATCCAACATCCAAAGTCCCTGTCGTTTTGATTAATCGCTGTTTATAATAATAATAATAATGTGTGTGTGTGTGCGTGCGTGTGTGTGCGTGCGTGTGTGTGTATGAGTGTGTTTAGGAAGAGTGTAATACACTTTCAACTTTTGATCTTTAACCTTTAACCATTTTCACCCAAGCAGCCTTTACACGGCCATGCAATAATTACTTTTAAAAATATGCCAGCCGGACCCATGTTATTATTTATTATAGATAAAAATAATAATTTCAATGTAGTTATTACGTCTACAATTATTTCTAAGAAATATTCACGGAGGCGAAAATGGAAATAAAGGCGCCAGGATATATGGGAAGAACAGGAGTTCCTGGAGATACGGGATCAACTGGAAATACGGGATGGACAGGAAGAACTGGTCAACCAGGTATGACAGGATCACCTGGATTGACAGGAAGAACTGGTCAACCAGGTATGACAGGATCACCTGGATTGACAGGTGTTCCGGGATCTCAGGGATATACTGGATTACCGGGATATACTGGATTACCGGGATATACAGGTTATCTTGAATTTTGTGAACAATTTCAAATATTTAAAAACGGAGTTCATTTGATTTTGTTTTCTGTTGGGAATTTTTCGGCTGCAGATAATATTGAGTGGTTAGAATTTTCTAACTCAAGAAATTTATTTTTAAAGTACATCAAATTGTTTTATCGTATCAGTAGAATAATATTTACTGAACCTTGATGAACCAAGGTAACACTGGTTTGCCTGGATCTACTGGCAGCGTTGGAGACACAGGATTTGTGGGACTACCAGGCCAAATGGGAGCTACAGGGGCTCCGGGCATGCCTGTACTTGGTAGACCACCCGCCGTTTCACCAAAACAAAATTTTTTCCACGGTAATGAATTTGTTTTTTTTTTATTACACTTTAGATACCATTTTGATATGTTGTTATAGGTAAAAAAGTGGTTGGAAAAATTTGATTTAATCAAGTATATTAACTAGAGCATACTTGAAAAACAATTTATATTTAAACAACTCAATTGTAAAATATCATTGAAATAATCTTCCTGGCACTTCGAAAGATACCACACGACCAACCACCTCACAGACAACAGCGTAGTCCAGATCGGCAACCCACTATTCAACTGCGAACTGAAGGATTCTTTCGCGATGAGTTTGAAGGATATCAGCACAAAAATGAAAAAGAACGAGAACTTTGGAGCGATCTACAACGAGCGCATGAGCCTCTTGAAGCAGAAACAAATGGCCCTGATTGAGAAATACTCACGCATTATGAATGACTTCCAACTGAGAATGGCCAATCTTGGTTCGTGCTGCTGTTAAATTTTTCAATTCAGTTGAAAATTACAATTACTTAGTGTTAATAACATATCAATCTTTTGAAATTTTAACTCAATCAACATTTCAGCAAAACAACATGTTATACACTATGTACATTTTTAAATTACAGCAGATTACACGGTTAGAGGATTACCGGGGCTCATGGGACAACCGGGAAAACCGGGACCTCCAGGATCTCAGGGTGCAACCGGAGGAATTGGATTTACTGGCCAAACTGGTGTGACTGGCCCATATGGATATATGGGAGCAACAGGGAACACAGGATCAACAGGAATGAATGGTTCACAGGGATAGAGGAATCACAGGAAATACTGGGGCAACTGGTCCACAAGGCGATACAGGAGCCACCGGAGCAACAGGAGCTCAAGGTCCTCCTTCTCTAAAAAATTTCTATAACTCAAAGAAGAAATAATGGAGAAGATGTTGGAAAATATTTGAGCGTGGAAACAAATTCATTATGACGTGTTTCGTCTTTGAAGGCTGCATTTGTGTTACTGACGTTGCTCATATAAACAATTTTTTTTGTTTCGTTGAGTTGTAAAAATTTGTTGTTCACTGCAAATTATTCCGAAATACATGACAATATGAAGAGTTTAAAAAATTTTTTTCTAGATCTTAAAAAATTCATATTTCAAAAATCGTATTCAGAAAAAAAGTATTTATCCTTTAAATAAGGCATAAACCAAAAATTATAACTCGATATGAGGGATAATAAAAACCATCTGGCACATGAAGCCAGTGCTAAAAATCCTACGAAAAATAAACATCATGTAAAAACAAAAAGTTTGCAACCACCAACTCAATTATTTAAATTCAGTTTCAAATTGCTTGACCAATCATTTGTCAAAAAATCCTTTACTACGTCATGGAGGACCAATTTGTCCGGGTGGACCTGTTTGCCCTCTCGGTCCGGGTAGACCCTGTGGACCCTGTGGACCCTGTGGACCATTTGGACCCTTTGAACCTGTTTGCCCTCTCGGTCCGAAAAAACCTGTTTGCCCTGTCGGTCCGGGAAAACCTGTTTGCCCCGTTGATCCGGTTGCCCCTGTAGCTCCCATTACACCAGTCGCACCCGTAAATCCAAAGTAGCCTGTAGCTCCGGTACTTCCCGTAGGCCCAATGTCCCCTCGTACGTAATCTGAAAATGTTTTGTTGTTTTTGTGTGTTTTGTTGGACTGTTTGAGCGTTGTTTGTTGTTCGTATGTGATTTGTGTTGTTTTTTGCTGTTTGTATGTTATTTGTGTGTTTTCATGTTGTTGTTGCTGCTGTATTTATTGTCTGTTTTGTTGTTGTTGCTGGCTGGTTGGCAATTAAATAATAAATTAATAATAACAAAGAATAAATAAACAGCAGAACAACACTTAAACAATACAAAAATAACAGCAAAGTAACAAAATAAAAATAATAAACATAGGAAAAAAATTTTCCTTACAAACGGTAACATTGTGATTGAGAAAATATGCCAATTCATTTATCTTCTCATCCAGCATCATCAGATCATTCTCAACCAAGTCCAAAATTGACTTCAACTCAACTTTCTCAGAACTTCTCAAATCCACATAATCATTCAGTTCTTCATAAATCTGCATATCGCAATCTGAGATGCTGACGTCTCCATTTTTGTAGTCGTAGAAGTCAGCGTCATCATGAACACTGAATAAACTTTGAGAGTAAGCAAGTTGCGGTAATAGTGAAGTGAGAACGATGATGCTGATAATGATGACGATGGTGGTATGATGGTGGTGGGGAGGATTTATTGGGCAGTAGTAGTAGTAGTTGTTGTT